CGTGTATCAATCATCCCATGACGCTAAACAAGATGGCGGGCTTCAGTCAAATGTCACAAGTCAGACTGATGTACTTAGTGAACTTGTGATTATCAAATATTCCGATCAAGTTTCAATGGTACGTGCAAACGACCACCTCTCCCCCACAACTTGTGGGTGTTCACATGTCTGTCGGAATGTTGACTGGCAATAGATTTAGCCCTATATTTAAGACACTGTCACTAGAAGTGCAGGTGATAAGGTCGCTCGGCGATCACGACCGACGCTAAAAATACCATAATTCGATGACATATTCCGTTACATTTCCGTTGTATTTTGACTAAGTTTCAAGACCATCTCCATTCACCATCTCATGAAATCCACAAAAGCAAGGCTCAATTCTTAAATTATTAACGATGAATGAAGTACACAGCCAAATCAAAGTAAACCTTTCGAAAAACCTACATATCTGAGCTAGGTCCACTAGCTGGACTTTTAATCGTTCGGGACCCCTCCGATAAACAGACGGACACTAAATGAAGCGTGGTAGCTATGTTGTGTGGGGTTGGAGCTGTGCCCCATCTTCTTTTGGCTTTATACGAAAAATATGAAAAAGCTTCGAAGCCACTAACAAGACATGTGGCACACATTTCCCCACAAATTACCAGCACATCCCTCTATCATTGGCTCGGGATTTCTACCAGTTCAAGTTTGAATCCGGACGTCTAATCAACTCCACATTGAGCCACTGTACTTCAGACGTTACTGTGGATACCTACACATCGTATGGCACCCCTCAACTTCACTGGCCAACATAGTCATTCAACAAATCAAATATAATGCCACTACTATCTTCGTAATCCAAAGGTTCCGCTCTAAATAACCGTAGTGTTTCGGGTGCAGATACATGTATCGAGAGCGGAGTCCTTTGATTTTTAAAAATGATATCCGAATACAGTCCTTATGAACAGACAGACCTGGTAAGTTGTCATCGCCATACCATGTACAATTGAAAGGACCAAAACACATATTCATTCATTTCCTTACCGGATATAATACGTGTTGATCCATGTTTTAGCAATTTTTTTCGGGGAACCAATGCCCTAGTAAATTTCGCGGCACCTGCATTTATGCTTGATATTTTAGGGAAATATTTAGAAGTGAAGACGCACTTCACAGGTACATTTCACAAAGTATTTGTGTGATCTCTTTAGTCGAGGACTTAATACATAAATAATTGTTTAATGACCCATCAAGCACGAAATGATAGAGAAGTGCTTTGTTGTTGACGAAAGGCGCGTGTGTTTGATTATTTTAGCACGTGCGGTGTGAGAGTTCCTGTTGCGATGGAAGCAGAAGGTAAGGCGATCGGAACACCCTCACGTGCATTTTACACGCGCGCCCGGGATGTGGAACGCCGTCTTACACCATGTTTACAAAAGTCTGTAAAACTAACACTATCAAAACAGGATGGAAATTTTGTATTTATCAGCAGGATTTGTTCGAATTGCACAGTCACTTCTCAAGGAGCATGCTGGTGTTTTAGCAAACCTTGCAAACTTGTATGTTAATTCGTTGCGTTTCGATAATTATGTGCGATGCATATTTTGATAAGACCTCTGCAAACAAACAAAAACAATTAAATATGACAGACCATTGGTCTAAACACGGTTACAAAGTGTGCATATTGTTAGTTAATTTAACTAATACCAATATGAAGAAATGCTTTTTGTATTGTGAGTATCGTCATATTGGTGGGATACCGTGTCATTTCCGGGCGGAGAGAAAGTCTACAAAGTATATAGTAGTTGGAACATTTTTCTAAAACTGTTTCCAAAGCAACACAACGCGCACATGCTTTGGCAGGGATTGCCAAACTTTAGGGCTTTGCGTTAAGAAAGATTGTCTAAAAGGTTCCGAAGTGCAAGATAATAATTTGTTCTTTGAAAGTGTTCCTTCACTGGACGTCGTTCCTTCTGATCTTGTAAAATAACACGAAGTAATGCCCAATGTTCTATCAACCCAGTGTTCATCTGACCCCAGCTGTTGCTAGGACGCGAAACCCGAACAAAGCTTTCCTCCCGTGTGCCATATAGATTCTAATCTTTCAATGTTATGTTGCAGTCCATTTTTTGGTTTACTGTCATGATTATTGTTCTAATGGCGAAAGATTGGCATAAAAAAACAGAAACCGTTCATATTTCGTTCAGTTGGTTTTTGTAGCAAAAGCTTGCTCGGTACGGCAGCCCTGGCGTTACCTCGGCGTCATCTGTTGTTGTTTTGATATAGGGACATGCGCGTAAAATACATTTCCTGCACGGTAGGAACGTAACGTCACCATTGACAGAAAATCTTTTATCATCGGACCTTGATTCAGGACCGGACTTTGTAGTTAACTTCCGGCTTGTCGGGTTACATGATGGAATAGCGGAAAGCACGTGATGACCACACAAGATTAACGGACACAATGGAACAGCCTTTATCTGGCATGTCGTCTGCTCATCGTATCAGACTTTTTAATGGTTCCTGTGGTTCCGGGTGCTACACATTTCACGCTTCATGTTTTAATGGTCCAGTCTTTTTTTATTTTGAAAACTCTGACGTTTTAGGTTGTTTATCTTAGCGAGTTTCACTGAGTTCTATTTACGTTTAAAGCATATCTTAGAATGTGGTTCGTGTTTAGAGATTAACGCTGTATCGCTATGGCAGGGCGCTGATATGGCCACTCAGATGTCGAAATATTCAGAAACGTGCAGTTTATAGTCACTGCTCCAGGTATCTAACCACGTTCCTGTTAGTGGTCTTTCTTTGAAATGGTATAAAATCCATGTCATACAGTGCTTGAATGGTCATATAAATCTAAATTGTATTCGGGGGTTTCCACGACAGGAACAAAATGTCTCGAAACCCATCACATACTTATTGAACATTTCCGGAACTAGCATACCGAGGTCAAACTTATACAAAGAATAGACATAATTAAAAAGCAAGGGACATGGTTTCAACAGCAGACTGTTATAACTTAATACGAAACTGAAAACATAAATCTATAAAGCCTTTTAACCCTATCCTGAATGTCCTTAGTATTGAAAATGAATATTTCCTCGATATCTGGTACAGGTATAGTATACTAACATAAAACATCTATACACATACATTATTACATCTATATGACAACATTTTACATCTTTACGCTTATATCACCTTTTTTTCATGAATAAACTCACTCTTCACACACAAATAACTTGCACATCCATACAATGTTACCACACATCTTATTACCCTTACACTACACATCTACACACATTACACTTCTACTTACACTACACATCTATACATATTACACTTCTACTTACACTTCACATCTAAACACTTACACTACACATCTATACACTTACACTATACATCTATACACTTACACTACACATCTATACACTTACACTACACATCTAAACACTTACACTACACATCTATACACTTACACTACAGATCTATACACTTACACTACACATATATACACTTACACTACACATCTAAACACTTACACTACACATCTATACCCTTACACTACAGATCTATACACTTACACTACACATATATACACTTTCACTACACATCTATACACTTACACTACACATATATACACTTTCACTACACATCTATACACTTACACTACACAGCTATACACTTACACTATACATCTATACACTTACATTACACATCTATACACAAACACTACACATCTATACACTTACATTACAGATCTATACACTTACATTACACATCTATACCCTTACACTACACATCTATACACTTACACTCCACATCTATACACTTACACTACACATCTATTCACTTACACTACACATCTATACACTTACACTACGCATCTAAACACTTACACTACACATCTATACGCTTACACTACATATCTATACACTTACACTACACATATAAACACTTACACTACACATCTATACACTTACGCTACACATCTAAACACTTACACTACACATCTATACCCTTACACTACAGATCTATACACTTACACTACACATATATCCACGTACACTACACACCTATACACTTACACTACACATCTATACACATACACTACACATCTATACACTTACATTACAGATCTATACACTTACATTACACATCTATACACTAACACTACACATCTAAACACTTACATTACACATCTATACACTAACACTACACATCTAAACACTTACATTACACATCTATACACTAACACTACACATCTAAACACTTACATTACACATCTATACACTAACACTACACATCTATACACTTACACTATACATCTATACACTTACACTACAGATCTATACGCTTACACTACACATATATACACTTACACTACACATCTATACACTTACACTACACATCTATACACTTACATTACATATGTATACACTTACATTACACAGTTACACACTTATTTTACACATTTACAACGAATAATTTACACATGTGTACCCTAACATTACTTTTTGATACACTTTCATTACACATCTATACAATCACAATACAAATCTATACTTTTATATTACGCATCTAAACTTATACATTTCACATCCTTACACTTAACTTACACATGTATACACTAACATTACACATTATACACTTAAAGTACCAGACGTTTACACTTCCATTCATGCGTATTAAGGTGCTACTGATTTGCTTGTGTTTTTCTTTAACGGCTGCCTATGTAAGATGTTCGGTTCCCATCGTTTAATCAAATATTGCCAATTAGAAACATGCACAGTGTATGTAGAAGCAGTGGGGTGGTGACGTAACGAAATGGTGCTAAGGAGCTGGGGTCTATTTAATCCCCGGGGTCGTGTTATGGAACTGGGGTCTATCTGATCCCCGGGGTCGTGTTATGGAACTAGGGGTCTATCTGATCCCCGGGGTCGTAGCTGAGCCCGGGGTTGTTTTAGAGAGATAGGACCCAGCTGATTCCATGTAAAACAGGTAAAATGTGTACTTACCGAGCCATGACTGCGGCTGCTGGCGATGCTACCGTACCCTCGGTCGTATGACGACGGCTGTAAAATCAAGCAACAATAACTTTAAAACGAATACTAGTATCACGGTTATAACACACTGATAGTCCTATCCAGCTTACTCCTCTCACGAATAAATACAAACTACTGCAAACTCTGGCAGGACGCTGGAGAGAAAGTTACCGGTTCCCTGTAATTAATTAAATAAGACAATATACATGTACTCACGTACCTACACATAGCCGACAAGCGTTAGTCAGACCAAGAACATTCAGAGAGAAAACTGGCAGGGGTTCTAATTGATCACGTGACCTAGATGTATAGGTAGAAAGGTGTGTTGATGTTTGGCACCGGTACTGATGTGATCAGCTCCCTCTCTCGTCACTTTCTCTCACTTCTGGAGACGGTAGGGAGAAGTGAGAGATGGGCGGAGGGGCTTGTTTGTATCTATCCATCAAACTCCCTAGATACTGACAAGGCCTGCACATGTGGCGAGGCCCTATCTATCGATATCTGTACCCAGGATACAGAAGGGGGCATGCGCAGGTACATTAACCTTTGGTTGTTCTGTATTAACCTTTCGTCATGTTGGTCACTTCCGGTCAATTATAGATTAATTTATAGTAGTTTTTAGAGAGAACGGACACATTTGAATTATTGCCAAGTCTTCGAGAGAAATGATTGTGGGTCTTTATCAATTTATATGGTCCGTGATGTACACAGCCTCGTATGAACGCCATGTACTGAAACATGCTAACAAGTGTCTGTCGGTATAAACATGTTCCTCTCTTTCTCAAAGTTCGTTTGTGCTGAGGTTTACTGACCAATAGGGCTAGTGGATCCAGTGACTGATCCGTGGGATTTCAATCAAGTAAAACATTGTAGGAAATACTCACTTTAAAAGTAATGACCGGCTGTGGTGGGGATGTTTTCACCGGAAACCCATCTTTAGCTATTTAAAATTGCGGTGTTGTCACCTTCATAGACTAATTTATGTTTGACCATTGGTCACTATTGTCCGTGACAATGAATACACAGTGTTGATCAGGACAGATGACATCTCCGTCATTTCAATGTCTAATTTATGTTGAGTTTTGCTGACATTACGAAGACGGACTGGAGATCTTGTCTCAAATATCATATCTTCATGGTTTGCCTTATTGGCGTATAGAAATGACTTTAGTTCAGTGGTATAATGATAACCGTTGGCTAGTGTATTACACAACCTTTTATGTTCATGTAAATAGACACTGATTCAATTAATGTGAAGAAGGGTTGAACATACAGTTTCTATTTAATATAAACGTGACTATCGGCGACCGTGTGTTACAAACTGATTATACTAGGCAATCCAAGAATCTGACAAGTAAGTAATTAATTTTGATGCGCATTAAGGCGATGGACTGCTGTAGTCCTATAGTACGGACAGTTTAAAACTCGCGTCGTAAAAATACAGAAATAACCACCTACTAATCGGGTGAGGTGAAAGTCGGGCATAACATCATTAAACAAAACTTCTACTTCATCTGTTGGAATGTCGACATCAAAGCCCCGGAGTTTCACCCTAGACACCGTTAATAGAGACAAACGATCTCGGTGCCTACTGGTGAAATAAAACATTATAACAAATCTTGTTTACCCCGAGTTGTAACGAGTCAAACTTCACTCTTTTTGAAGCGGGCTTATTTACTTTTATAGAAATGGCGTCTGTGTTTGCTAGCGAGACGTATCCATATTATCACAAGTTTTGTATAGAGTATCATGAACTTTCCAGAAACTTAAAACTTATTTAACATATACCGTGTACATCATTATGATACCTGAGATCGAGCTGTGCAACCAGTGGGGAGGGGGAGAGGGCGACATGCAAAGTTGCAAAATAGAACGTAAACTTACCATACATGTATGAAAACACATCCTTCGTGTAATATTTATTGTTTTCCTTAGATTACACAGATCAGGGTTCACTAGTTTTCTCATATATTTAGTAGAACTATAAAATGTCGACGACGACGACATTGAAAAGTGAAACTGCAAAATACGTAGTTTTGGTGAACCTCTGGTCTAGAAATACCAATACCGTCTTGTACGTTCGTCACCTTGGATACACATATTTCATAACAAGAGTTCTTGCCAAAATTATGTACTTACAACATCAAAAGATTAGCGATAACACTGAATAGATAAATAATGTGTAAATCTCCATCCATCGGAATTATTTGTTACAAATCAATACCTCACACGATGAAATATTTCAATTCTAAATGGATACTGCATACCATTTTAATGTCTATGACAAGTCCTTTTCGCCGTTAGATGTGCTCTTGTCAGTCATGAACACTCCAAGCAATATGGATGGTTTCGGTCGTGTAATGTACTAAAACCAGTACTTCCTTCTAATGAGAACATTGCCATATTTATCAAAGATTTTTTTCCCAAGAATAATTTCATTCGTCCATAAAGTGTAGCTTCCCTAAACAACGCCATGTCACTGTCAGTATATCACTCTACCTAACTTCCCTCAACAATGCCATGTCATTGTCAGTATATCACTCTACCAAACTCAGATGTCAATGGTTTTGCCCCGATTGTTTATGTTACAATTGTTATGATACCGTGTTGGTAACTTCATATAACACTGTTCCTGAAATTAAACTGGTATGCAAATTACATGTCTTTACTTGCAGTAAATAGTTGTCATGTAGAATGTTTGAGCGTTGAACTTTGATAAATGGGCTTTGTTTGCTACGAGTTTTAAATTATCCAACAGTTGTTGTCAATATCAACATTGAACTGCGTTAAGTTGACATTCATATTCAATATTAATACCTACTGGAAACTTTTAAATTGCAACAGGGGAGGACCAGCGCTTTTCTGAGACTAGAGTGTCCTCATTAGGATTCAATACTAGTTACCAGAGTGACCGTAGTAATCTACTTCCGGTTTCGCAAAGAATCTTAATATTAAGAGACTGAAACTTGTCCTCAATGCATGGCTACTGTGAAGGTGGGACAGAGGACGAACTACGCCGATTTTCTGTTACACGTTCGTCAAGTTTTTTGTCCTGAAATTAACAACACATCACTCTAGCATAAGGAATTCTCATTACAAAGATGGCGGCCTGCCAGACCTATCATGTATCCCATAATAGTGTAAGTGAAATGCACGCGTGCGATTTAATGAAAAACTATCATAATATCAAGTATCACCTCCTTATGATGCGGGAGAACTTGATAGACATATTTCTGCGAGTGAATTACCATGTAAAAATTATGTTTTATGTATATAACGCATGCGCAGTAACCCTTCACTCTTTCCATATTGAAACAGACATGATACGATTACACCCTAATCACAACGATTCACGGAGAATTAATGGCAGTCAACAGTTGTCGTTGAGGTAGTCTGACGCGGTAATAGACCTCATTTACCCTCCTCACTTAACAGCAATAGAGTTGCTTCCCTTGGGTACTTTCTATTCCGTAATAGCCCAGTTGGAATGTGCACTAACGGTAATCGTAGTCATTATGTACAGCGCCACATGCCATCTGGTCATGTCAAAGTGATAACAACACATCGTGTATTTATTACTGCATGTCGTTTTCAAACAGGTATGTTATTGACTGTGTTATCAAGCCGTTAAATATAATAACATGATTAGCAACGTACTTCACTAATGACACATGGAATATTCATGTTTAATTTGTAATATTTGTATACTTTTTTTTATATATTTCATCAAGAAAATGTATCCATCCAGAGAGACTTTGACTTGACTTGGGTATCGCTTACCTTCCGAACGAACATGGGGCATGTGGACTACCATTATAGTATAGTACAAACTTGAGAAGGACTGTTTAGTATACCAGTGGTGGAGTATAAGCGTTGACGCGTGGTTATATGTGTTGGAGATTGGGTTCATGTTGAGTGGTAAAAGAAGTTCCGAGTAATTTGGAGATCAGAGACCTCTGAGAACACAACAACAGCAATGTAGAAGTCATGTTAGCCACGAAACACAGGCATGACGTGTATACCTTACTCAGCAATGTACTCTACCAACTCTTATATACATGTTCTTACATTGAAATGTCAAAATAAGTGTAAGGATAGTCTTGACAATCTGCCTATTGCAAATGTCATAATAAAAGTATCTCTTAGAATGTTTCCCAAAAGTCCCAGAAAATGTTGAAATAAATAAAACTGAGATTTCTTACGATTGAGTTCAAAGTAATGATCCAAGATTAACACAGGCGATGTCAGACCGAATGCTGAGTTGCTTTTCGATTGGTTAACAAAATCTACGAAATATTTAGTTCAGAATCGAACGAAAAATAGTAGCTTTTAAAACCTCGTGTAATCCAAAAAACGGGTTGTAAAAAAAATGTGAAATTACGAAAAAGCGAAACGAAATACACAGAAGAAAAAATCACGAGTTACCTCCCATCAGCTAGATAAGTTGATTTAAATTAGATAAAAAATCATCAGATAGCTGTACAGTGAGGGTATATATAGATAACTTGAATTAAATTCATAATCTGTTCAAAACATATTTTGATCTCATAAAACTCTATTGAAGCATACGCATTAAGCCCTGGCAACAATTTCCCGAGGTTTTTAAACACAAAAAGTTCCTACGCCGAACCCAGCGACTGATTGCGTAATATAGATTAGAACATCTTCATTGGACTGATTAATTCATTTAATGTTCTTTCATGCTATGAGCAATATCACAAATCCAAAGCTGATTATAACCACGTTTATATGATCTCTGCCCTTTATATTACATAAGATAAATCTTGTTAAATGTTATTGTACTAGTACTCTACCAGACGGTGACATGCATCTTCGTTTCATAATAATTCTGAGAAAAGAGTAAAACAATAAAATTTATACGAAAAATAATCAAGAGCACAGGGACACGATAAGCTGTTACAGCAGCTATGTTTGGACCTAAACTGATGTGTGCAGATTGGGTGGTGACATTGAGCATTGCTATGAACCTCTAAAACATCTCGTATTACTTTGAACAAACCAATTTAGGT